TCACTATCTGCTCTGCTCTCTTGGAAATCCTGGATGAGCTGAGCATGAAGAGGGGCCACAACTGACAGTGTTGGAGAGCTTTCTTTTGACATTACAAGAGTACCAATCTTCATGGGCTTCATTGCATCCACTATCTCCTCCGCAGATGTAATCTCCGACTCACATAGGGTGCAAACTTCTTTCTCGGTTTTCCTAAGCTCGTTGGACAGAAGAGCAGCGGAGACAGCGGGTTGCTGCTCAAGAAAGCGCTCGAGCATATCATGCGCGCTATTCCAGCGCGTCACAACATCAGTGATCAGTTTATGTTCAGGCAACTCGAGCAACTTCTGCTTCTGTCGAAGTACGTAGCTGGCTGTGGTACTGCGCTTAAAAAAGGTGGATATCCGTCTAACACGTCCCAATAAACGAGCGACAGCAGGAAGCTTCAGTGCACGCTGCGAGGCCAGGTTTAAAGTGTGAGCGAAGCACCTGAAATGCAACATACCGGCAAGCTCCGCTGCGACGCTCATATTTGCGGCATTGTCAGTCACAATAGCTGGGTCTTTGGATACGAGGTCCCAGTCCTCCAGCGCCGCTTTCAGTAACTCTGCAATGTTTGACCCCGTATGGCTCTCGTGCATGGCTTGCGTTTGTAAAACGTGCGACATCAGTTCCCACTCCTCGTCAACGTAATGGCAAGTGATTGTAACAAAAGCTTCAGTGGCTCGCGATGTCCACCCGTCACAAGTCAGTGGCACTCATGGGGCAGAACTCAGGACTGACTTAACATTGTCTTTGACTTTGTCGTATATTCTCGGTACTGCTTTGTCGGTCATGTAGCTGCGGGTAGGGATCACGTAACGGGGATCTAACGTGTTGATCATAAAGCGAAAGCCTGTGTTCTCGACATCACTGTAGGGACGTAAACCTTTGCAAATATAATGCACCACAGACTCCGTAATCTTCTGTGCACGGACTGAGTTAAATGGAAGCTTGGATGTTGCGTTGTCCAAAGTAGTTTGCGTGGGGTCCCGTGTTTTTTTGGGCTGCAGCGAAGCTAGCTTGTCTGCATGGTGTCTTTGCAGGTGGGCGCGCAGGTTAGTTGTATTACCGGTGTAGCGTATAGAAGCCTGGCAATGCTTGCAGATTGCATTTGTTTTATCGATCCCTTGGTTTCCTTCCTTTGCTTTAAAACCAAAACGTGTCCAAACATCTGCCTTTAGGGACAACGGCGCTTCTAAAATCTTCGACATTTTCCATGAGTTTTTTGAAACTCGCAGGCGCCGCTGCGCCCCCTAATGGCTGGGCGGAGTATCAATACTAAGGGCTAGAATGTCGATACTGTATCTTTTTTTATTATATCGGTATGTATCTAAGAATCGATATTTTGAGCACACCCCTACATTATAGTATGACTCATTTCCTGGCGCGTACAATTTATATTAGGTCAGCGTTCACCGTTCGACTTCTGATATTCAGATCGAGTTCTAGGTCAAACTGGTTTGCTCGACTTTCAAGAAATTCGAGTTCTAGTGAATTCGAGAACCGAGGTACCACTGTAATAACAAATTTGTGTTTTTTGCTAAAGGCATATCTGGAATGTTAATTCAGATCTTGGTGAACCATCACGGCACACTGACTGATAATGATGTGGTTTGAGTTAATGAAGTGTAGTTTGAGTTACAGAAGATTCTACTTCTAGTTTAATGTTATTTCCCCCTCCTTCAATTTTGGAAGGATACTTCCTTTTGGTCCAATTTTTGAGGGGCTTCTCCAGAATTTTAACACATCAAGTTTTCAGTGCTGGCCCAATCGGGTTTGCTAGGCAGCCCTAATATTACATTTTCTTTCTTGACTGCTCTCTCCTCCCTTCCAATCATAGCTATTATTTTGAACAGCTTTGACAACACAATCAAATTCTGCTCGCGTATCACACCTGTAACACTTTTGGATTATTATTCTCTGTAAAATATTTTGGTCTGTGCAGAATTTCCCAGCAACAGGATTTGGGGGCAGGTATCATTAAAGACAGAAGAGAATGTTCTATCCTTCCTACAGTAATTCAGTACTCTTATTTTGGAGGCTTTATAGAGAGGTTGCCACGTATGCCTATAATGTAAGTATTATCCACTTTATAAAGTAATTTCCTGTGTGGTGCAAAGCTGCTGGGAGTCAGGGGGCAGCAAAGAATCTGATTTGTACAAGTAAACAGAAAATACTTCTGAGGGGCAGCATTTAGGAATTTGTTCTTTGTAACATTGGCCCAGTTCACACCTGGTATCAATGTCCTGGTGATCCGATCATGAGTGGACAGTGCTAAATACAGGTGTGAATTATTTAAAAATAAAAGGACACATTAATTATTGACATATTTATTCGTTTATAGGTTTTTTTTTTAATTTCATTTGGAGTATTATGGCATTCCATACAAACATTTTAGGTTGTTTTGGTTACCCTGAAATGCTTTTAATGTTTGGCAGTGTTGTATAGTTAGCAGACTACACCTTTCTTGCCTGTTCCAAATACAGTGGACATTTTCGTGGATTTTGCTGCATCCTCCTCCAGCACATTGTTATTGTTCTGTAACTCTTAGGGTTGGGACAGCACTGAATAGTGGTATTGACACTGGTATCAGCAATACCAATCTTGGATCGAATCGAAATCAGATCAAAAGCAAAACCAGTGGTATCATCCATCCCAACAGTTTAGTTTCACACAAAGCTGGTTTGTACCATTTTATTTTAGGATGTTCTAGCACTGTTTCTCTACAATGGATACATGCATCTGAAGCAGGTCGTACCACGTGGGTACGGGCTGTCTTTTCATTTATTTACTTCATGCAAGTGCATTTCTTTATGAAAATGTGTGTACAGCAGCTTGAACGGCCTGGAAATGTCAGTGCACCCAGGAATCTCCCAGTGCTCCCGATGGCCACTCCGCCCCTACACTGCATCCATTATTCTTGCTGCTTTAATCTTTCCAGTGAAGAAGCTACAATTTTGCTGAGTGTTAATTTTCGGGTTGAGCACAGAAATAAAGTGCTTCGTTTCTGCACACCAAAACGCACCTCCCAGTGTTACATTTCCATGCAGAAACCTCCCCTGGTAGATGAGCCTCAGTATGTTTGGACTGCTGACTTGTTCCTCTTCCCAGTCTGAAATGGAGAAAATTATGTTTGCTTTTTGGCAGATTATCACCCAAGGTGAATTACACTACTCTCCAATTTTCCTAAAGCAGTCCAATAACATGCTCAATGGTACAACAGCACATCCCAAACACAGCACCTATGGAAAGTACAACTGAATTCTCTGGTGAAAAATGAGACACGGGATTAGCTAACATGCTGTGCCACTGATGCTAGCTATGGCTCTGAACTGTTCACATCAGATGGGGGCAAGCACTTGCATGCAGAGGTGGATAGTTCAGGTCCAGAAAGTAAAAATTGAGACAATAATTTTGCTACAACCAACCAGTTTAGTACTCTGTGACTGACTCTTTATACTATTGATTGTTTGAAACAAAATCTTTGTTAGATTTTTACTTTCTGTACCTGAACTATCCACCTCTGCTTGCTTGCCTCACATTCAGCCATATTAAAAAGCACAGCAATCCACCTCTGGCATATTCAGTCTTGCGTGTCAGATTTTCAGCCATTTATTCGGGAGTGTTTTTTTTTAGTGTAGACTCGAATTCACCATGTAGCTGATTCTAGGTTGCTTACTCCATTGTTTAAGACTTGGGAGCTTCATTAACTATACACACTTGACCTCGATCAACACACTCTATTGTTAGAGATTATTCGATTATATTCCCATCTTATTATTTCCTTATTTCTTATTATTTCAATGTTCATTAATGTGCATTGCAGTAGTCCAGCCCGGAAGAGACAAAGGCGTGGACCAATATTTCAGCATCTGCCAGGGTCAATGAGGGACGAAGTTTGGCAATGTTTTTGAGATGAAAGAATGAGGTCTTACAGAGCTGTTGGATGTGGGCTTCATAAGTGAGGTGGGGGTCCATTTCTACACCAAAACTGAGGATAACCGAGGATAGTGGAATATCTTGATTAGAGAAAGTGATACTAATGATGGTGGAAGTGCGAACCTGGTGCGGACTGCCAACTATAATGGCCTCCGTCTTGGTGGTGTTAAGCTGAAGAAAGTTAAGCTTCATCCACACCTTTATCTCCTCCAGGCATGTGGTGAGAGCTGTAGGTTGCAAAAATGTCTTCAAATGAAGCTGCGTGTCATCAGCATAACAGTGGAAAGATAACCCATGTCTGGTGATAATGTGACCGAGGGGAAGCAGGTATAAGGTGAAGAGAGTTGGTCCTAGCACCGAGCCTTGGGGGACACCGAAAGTAACAGTATGGGAAAATGTAGCTTTTCCCAGGGTGACATATTCGGTTCTACCTGAGAGACAGGAGAAGAACCAATTATAAGCGAAGTCAGAGAGGCCAATGGTAGTATGTAACCGGTGCAAACCCAACCAGAAGACACCTGTGGCCCCTTTACAGCCTATTTCTGCTGTGAGTACACCGTTTGAACACTTGCTGGTGTATTGTGTAGGGCCACTCCCTCGTTCCCAAGCTGGGCTTTGCTATCTTTTGATTATCATGTGTCAGTCCACTCGTTACCCTTCTGCTTATCCGCTTCGGTCCATTACTTCTCGGTCAATCCTGAGGGCTATGACCAGTTTTATGTCCACTTTTGGGATCCCACGGGTTATACAATCTGACCAAGGGACAAATTTTATGTCTAAACAGTTTGCGAGGGCATTGCGTCAGCTTAAAGCTAAACATAATATTTCAAGTGCTTACAATCCACAGAGTCAGGGGCCTCTGGAAAGATTTCATCAAACCTTGAAATCAATGTTGAGGTCTTTTTGTGTTGAACTTGGTAGTGACTGGGAGGAGGGTCTCCCATGGCTTTTATTGGCTATTCGCGAGGTTTCTCAGGAGAGTATTGGGTTTAGTCCCAACGAGTTGGTGTTTGGCTATGATGTGCAGGGACCTACAGCCCTTTTGGCTTATGGGTGGAGTACTAAATCACCTCCTGCTGTAATAATTTAAGAAAAACTTCATTTATTAGTTCAAACACAAGGGTAAAACCCGTCTAGATGTAAAAAATTATCTATGCAAAACGCAGGGGCAGAAATTCAGGGATGAGTGAGTAATCGGAGAGAGGAGCGTCCAAAATATCTGCAGGTGCTTTTATTCCCAAAGCGGCGCCAGGTGTGGGCAATTAACGTCCCCTCCTACAACATGCAGTTACTGCATGGCCACTACACTGACTGCAGAAAGAGCAGGGTGGGGGGTTGTAACATGGTCGATGGTGTCAAAAGCAGCAGACAAATCCAGAAGAATAAGAAGGGAAGGAGAGCCAGCATCAGCTGTCATCAGCAAGTCATCTGTCACCCTTACCAGTGTTGTCTCTGTGCTGTGGCCTTGACGAAAACCAGACTGAAATGTTTCATTTAAACCGTTCAAGCTGAGATGATTATGAAGACGAGCTGCCACTACTGTTTCCAGCACTTTTAAAAGAAATGGGAGGTTTGAGATGGGTCTATAATTGGCTAGATTATCTGAATCTAGTGTGTATTTTTTAAGAAGTGGCTTAATGATAGCAGTTTTTAATGCAGGGGAAACAAAACCAGCCTGAAGAGAAAGGTTTATTACCTGGGTAAAAATAGGGCTGATGGCAGCAAGATTAGACTTAACCAGTGCTGTGGGAAATGGGTCCAATGCAGAAGTAGATGGTTTCATCTTTGTGATGATGGCCTCAACCTCCTGCTGTGTGGCAGTGGAGAGGTAGCTGAGAGGACTGATAGGCCCTTGCAGTGAGTCGGCATGGTAAAGGTACCTCCTGCTGTGTGGCAGTGGAGAGGTAGCTGAGAGGACTGATAGGCCCTTGCAGTGAGTCAGCTGGCATGGTAAAGGTGGTTGATGAACTAAAGCGACAGGAGAGAAGGGACCGGATGGGTGCTATTTTATTTCTGAAGAAATTCATGAAATTATTGCACTTTTCCACAGTAGCATCCGAGTAAGAGGTGGTTTGTGGCTTATAAAGATGGCTGATCATTGGAATTGCCAGGATTGCTGTTCATGGTATTGGAATAGAGCTGGGACTGTGCGTCTTTAAGCGATTTAGCATAGGCCTTCTGATGTTCCCTAAAAGCCTGCTTGTGTACAGTCAACAATGAGGCCTTGCAACGTCTTTCGAGGACACGTCTGACTGATTTCATCCTCCGAAGCTCAGTAGTGTACCAGGGTGCTGAGCGTGAGAAGGCGACTGTACGGGTCCTGGTGGGAGTGTGGCAGTCAAGAAGGCTTGAGAGAGACTGATTGTAGAAGTCCACTGTTTCCGTCACTGGTAAAAGAGCAGCAGAGCCAGACAATACGCGTTGTAGGTCCAGAGCCAGGGCATCAGGATCGATGTTCTTTATAGATCTAAAGTGGATTTGCCTCTTTGGTTTGCAGTAGGGTGAGCAGGAAAGAGGCAACTCCATGAAAATGGCTTTGTAGTCTGACAGCCAAAGGTCACATACTTGCAGGTTTGTGATCGGAACAGAGTTGGTTATCACCAGATCAAGAGTGTGCCCCCTAGAATGAGTGGGAGCAACAACATGTTGCTGCAGATTTAGACTATCGAGTAGATGGAGAAACTCGGCAGCATATAGAGGAGGCTTACATTTGAACGCAAGGCATTCAAATGATGACAACACAGGTAATGGAAAGGAGAAGAACTCCAGGTCCTGACGCTGTATGACAGTAAGACCACCTCCACGACCAGTGCTACGTGCCTTCTCGATGTAAAAGTAACCAGGGGGGCAGGCTTCATTTAGAGATAAGAATACTCCAGGCTCATGCCATGTTTCAGTAAGGCACAGGAGATCTAGTTCTTTTTCAATAACGCAATCCCGTATGAAGGATGCTTTGTTTGACAAGGACTGTGTATGAAAAAGTTCAACTTTGACCGAAGAAGGAGCAGCAAATTGTTGTAGCGTCCGTAGCACAGTCAGATCCACTCCGCGGATCCGATGTGCTCCAGGTTTTTGGCCAAGCCCAGAGGGTAGCCGTCTCACAGCAGTATCCATGTTACATAGATCACATGCAACAGTGTTCTGATGATGTGTGCAGCACGCGCCGGTTGTCGACCAGAGAGCCGGGATTCCTGAGGCAACGTGCTTGGAGTGATGGTAGTAGAAAATCTTTCTCCGGGAGCTTCTATGGATGTAATGAGGTCAGCATAGAAGTCCAAGCTCCCTGATAATAGACATACACGCTGGTAGGCTGTATGTATTCAGACTCAGGAGATGTGCAGCAGAGTAGTTAATCGACATGCCCAGAGTTCCGGAAAGGTGAGTACTTATGTCAATGACAGGCAAGACGAACAGTGCAGCAGGTTACGGATTACAGATTATAGGCTATAAGACAATCCAGAATGATTCAGTATTTAGGCAAAACTGCCTCTTGGAAGTAGTGAGCTAGCACACATGACCAGCTGGACAACGGGAAAAAAATTCAGATTCAACTTTTTATAGCATCTACACAATATTTCCCATTTTCACTTCAAGCGCAGGCAAGAGCTGCTCATTCTGCTCCACAATCCCATCGTATTGACACTATTTACACTGGCTGCTCGCCACACTCCTCTAAATGCAGCACCTAAAGGCACACAGATGGCTACGGAACCTCATCCATGATGTCTCTTCCATAAGGTGTAAAGTAATAAGATAATAATCAAATTGTATATAATTTATTATCTTAATGTGATATACAGTTATAGTCTGTGAATTTAATCCATGTCATTTATAATATTATATAAAATATTTTTTTAAATGAAAATCGCATATAATGCTGAAGAATATTACCCATTGGCCAGTGGTTGTACACATGCTTGGCAATGTCCGCTGCAGAGTTGCTGGGTGAGAAGGGGAACTCTTTTGTCTTACCACTCACTAAGATGAGCTTCAAGGTTATCTGCAAAAGTTTGAGATGACAGAGACAATCAGTCCTATGGTATTAAAGCAGAAATGGTAATACATACCAAAAGCAGCAGGGAATAATGTTGCCATTAAGGGATCTGCAACAATGTTTAAGTAAGAGGTACAAGTTAAAGTAACATCCACAAGAATGCCAGGAACTAAGGTTTTCTAGCAGAACATTGCTCAGAGCATCACACTGCCTTCGACAGCTTGCCTTTTTCCCATAGTACATCTTGGTGTCATCTCTGCCCCAGGTAAACGACACACACACACCCAGCTGTCCACACGATGTAACAGAAGACGTGACTCATCAGACCAGGCTACCTTCTTCCATTGTTCCATGGTCCAGTTCTGATGCTCTTATGCCCATTGTAGGCACGTTCTGTAGTGGACAGTGATCAGCATAGGCACCCTGACTGGTCTGTGGCTACGCCACCCCATACACACCAAACTGCGATGCACGGTGTTATGATACCTTTCTATCATATCCAGCGAAAACTTTTTCAGCAATTCATACTACAGTAGAGCTCCTGTGAGACCGAATGGACTAGCCTTCGAATGGACTAGCCTTCGCTGCCCACGCACATCACTGAGTTTTGGGCACCCATGACCCTGTAGCCGGTTCAGCAGTTGGCCTTCCTTGGACCACTTTTGGTAGGTACTGATCGCTGCATACCAGTGTGAATGTAGCTCAGACCCTTGCACTAGCCCATTTTTCCTGCTTCCAAAACATTAACTTCTAGAACTGTTCAGTTGTATAATACATAATGGCACCCTTGACAGGTGAAATTTTAATGAGATAATCAATGTTATTCACTTTCAGTGGTTATAATGTTATTCACTTTGTCAGTGGTTATAATGTTATGGCTGATTGGTGTATGTGTCACAGTTCTGTTTGGGGGTACAGGAGATTATTAAACTGTCATGACATGGCAAATGTGTTGTTAGATCTAAAACTTTCATGAACCTGGATTTTAGCATTCACAATCATACTGTATCTGAATTCTGAACAGCCTGCTTTTCAAATTTTTAGTGGATTGAATCCAGTTAACACACACCCACTCAGAATCCTACAAATAACACGTTTAAGTGCAATGGATGAGAACATAAAGGAAGGCATACAGAGGTTTTGAATCTAGGACAAAATACTCATCTTTGTCTGCATTCAGTATCCTCACCATTTGTGCACGCTCTCTATGGTGTAATAAAATGAGCATTGTAGGCAAGATACGTTAAGGCAGCTTTTTTGCAGCAATTTTTAAACAGTGACAACAAAATAACAATGGAAAACATTAAGACAGTAAAACAGTAAAGCGGTTAATTCCAAAATTAAGTGCAGACAGACTAGCCAGTCTGACAGGACAGAGCAATAACATAACCAGTGGTGTAATGGACCATAGCTGATCCATGAGCCGTACGGATGCCCCTCCCACAGTCCAGAAAGCATGTGAACCACAGAATAATTGCAAAGTTTAAGTGCTACTGTGTTAAACATAGTTTTACTGTTTTACTTTTTAAAATAATAATTCCCTAAATCTTGATACCACAGAAGGTCCATATAGGACATACATTTAGGGCTTTAAGTTCTTTTCTCAGAGCAGAAGATAATTCCCCCTTATGCCCCAAAATTCCCCCAGCACAATGGGGAGAATTTTAGGTTTTCAGTGGGAATGGAATTAAAAAAAAAAACGATTCAATAGCATTGGCCATGCCATTTTTAGTGGAATCCAGTTCCCTTTTAATCATGACAAATGTTGATTTGTAATTACATTTATCTTCCTCAAATCAAATGTTTTTATTTTGTGATTTCAAGAAAATAACTTGTGATCTTGAGAAAACAGCTTTGGCTATGTTGAGAAAAAGCTCAACATAGCTTTGGCTATATTGAGGGGGGCGTAGCCTATGTACCGCGTACGTCCCCCTCGTTAACCTTGTGTGGATTCCCCATGTTTACCAGCTGTTTCGAGTTGTTTTCATTAGTTCGATGGATTTAAGTCCATGTCAGAGTATGTGTCCCTAGTCCTGTCATTGTATTGTTGTAACGGTCTTCCCTTGTATGCCTCTCCGTGTGCCTGTTAAAACCCATATTCCCTGATCCTTCGTCTCCCTCTCCTGCTTCCCTGCTCTGTGCTCCCCAACTTATGACAACAAGACAGAAAAAGGTAATAATGGATGTCCTGTTAAGACTTCCATACAATGCAGAGTTGCAGTGGAAAGATACAAAGCAGTGTGTTCACATGGACAGGGCACATTAAAAAAAAAAAGTTTTTTACTGATCTGAAAAATTATCTGATCCGTGACTAAAAAACTGAACTGAGAGTTATGTGCCCCCCTTATTTTTAAAAAAGTAAAAACAATTATTATTTTTTTAAATACATATGTAGACTTTAAACTGGCAGTCTGCATGGGTGCCTGTATCTGTGGTAAGTGGCGAGGTAGCGAGTAGCAAAAATGGGGGTCTAGCTTTATAAGTAACAGTCCTTGGGGGAGGGAAAGGTTGTTTGCTTTGGGAAGGGGTGGTGAAAGCCAGAGCTCTGGGGAAGAAGCTCTTTCCCAGTCTGTTAGTCCAGGATCTGATTGCCCTAAACCGTTTTCAGGATAGCAGGGGGTCAAAATTCCTTCTTCAGTCGGCTACCGTAAACTATGTCCAGGTTTTGGAGGTCAGCACCATAATTTGCTGGGCAGTCTTCACCACATGATGTAGGTCCTTATGATCTGCAGCTGAGCATCTGCCATATCACACAGTCAGGTCTTAGGAAAGGATACTTTAGTGCTGTGGTAGAAGTTGATCAGGAGCTGCTGAGGTATATGGGTCTTTCTTAGTCTCCTGAGAAAGTACAGCCATTATTGGGCTTTTCCCACCAGGTGAGTGGTGTTAATGTAGCCATATACTTCAGATGAAATAGAGGTTGTTTTGGCAATACAGCATTGTATAAGCCGTAATCACCGCGGTGATCATTGTTCAGGTGCACCCCTAGGCGAACTTTTTCATTTCTTCTGATCCCATCCCCCGTCCATGATTGGCTGGCATAAAGGTGATGCCACAGCAGTGGTGGAGGAAGTACTGAAGCTTAGTACTTAAGTAAAAGTACAAGTATCCCGCAAAATATGTACTCAAGTAAAAGTAGAAGTGCTACATCGACAATCTTACTTAAGTGAAAGTACTAAGTACTTACTTTTAAATTTACTTTAAAGTATTTTTTTAAGTAAAAGTACTCACACAATGGTTTGTCTCAACGTCTGGGGTGTGCCATTTTGTAAAAGAATAGTAGATATACTGACTTACGCCCCTACCGATGTCATTGCTCGTAATAATTACAAGCAACTACGCAATATATGTGTATTGGAAAGTTTGGTGTGCTTATTGTGCGTGCACTCTGCAATACTGTGTGTACCCTAACTTAGAATTACGTGGATGACAAGTTATCTACTAGGTATTACCCACTAATATACCATTAAGATAAACCAATCAGGACATGATATATCTTTAAATCATTTATGTACTTGCAAAACTATTCAACACATCTGTTAAGAGCAGTAAAAGGGAAACACAACAGTAACCAAACACTAGTGGTGGGGTGGCACCATGTTGAATGTCTCGTCTTCTTGAAATCAAGCCAGTCTACCAGCTCGTGCTGCCAATTGATGCGCGCTCTGCCATCATTGGAACTAATTAAGTCACCTGATTGGTAGGAAATGGCAAACAACACCAGAACGCAATAGGCTATTTTTTCATGTAAGATTTTGAGGAAATTGTGTTCATAAAATGTAACGACTAACGGCATAAGTTGTAGAAATGTAGTGGAGTAGAAAGTACAGATAATTGCCGCAAAATGTAATGGAGTAAAATAAAAAGTATGCATTATTATTTTTACTTAAGTAAAGTACAGATACGTAAAAATGTACTTAAGTACAGTAACGAAGTACAAATACTTTGTTACATTCCACCACTGTGCCACAGGGTTGGTCAGCAGGACTAATGATGCAATTACCAGGATGCTTTGCACTGCACTTTGCTGTAAATGCATTTCTGTTCCTAGTAATTGTTCTAACAGTCTAATCTTTTCCAAGGAATGTGTGTGTTTCGTTAGCGTATGACTGTAAGTGATGTAAGTGTGCATCAGCAAATTTAACAATAGTATTTGATGGGAGCATGGGGGTACAGTCATGGCTGAGATGAGTGAAGGTCATTGGGTTCAGCACACAGCCCTGTGGGGAAACTGTGTTCAGGATTAGAGCAGGTGAAGTATGCATTCCAATCCTGACATTCCATGGTCTATTTGTGAGAAAATCCAACACCCAGGAGCAGATGGAAGTGTCCAAGCTGCTCAGTTTGTTGACCAATCTGTGAGGGATAATGATATTAAATGCAGAACTAAATTCTACAAATGACATCCTCATACAGTGGTACCTCAGAACTCGAACTTAATCTGTTTAGAACTCAGATTCGAATCCTAAAAAGTTCGAGTTATGATCGAATTTTCCCCATAAGAAATAATGGAAAACCAATTAATTGGTTCCCGGCCCCAAAGAAATTACACCTAAATATGTTTTTTTAGCATTTAAACACAAAATGAACAGGATAAAACAAGAGCATATACTGTACTAAACACATCTAAGCACATTTATCAAAACAGTAATTTGTAAAGTAAGAAAATAAATGCATCCAAACAATGTGTCCTGCCCCGATCGTCCGCTCCTTCCGTGTGCCACGTCCCCTCATTAACCCCGTATGGAATCCCCGTGTGATCAGCTGTTTCTGGTTGTTGTCATTAGTCCTCTGTATTTCGTCCGTGTTTCAGTTTGTTTTCCCAGTCCCGTCATTGTATTGTCCGCCTGCGTTTTGCCTGCAATTAAACCCCGTATTCCCCGATACTCTGACGCCTGCGCCTTTGTCTCCTTTCAGTCCCTGCTCGGCACGACAATATTATTATAATTAAATGTATTAATGGTTTATTATTAATGATATTAAAATAATTAAGAAATCTTTATTTT